ACTGGCCAACATGGTGAAACCCCATCTCTAATAAAAATACAAAAACCATTAGCTGGGTGTGGTGGCATGCGCCTATAATCCCAATTGCCCAGAAGGCCAAGGCAGGAAAATTGCCAGAACCCCAGAGACACAGGTTACAATGAGCCAAGATTGCGCCACTGCACTCCAGCCTAGGCAACAGAGCCAAGACTCCATCTCAAAGAAACACACACACACAAATTAGCTGGGCATGGTGACATGTGCCTGTAGTCCCAGCTACTTGGGAGGCTGAGGCTGGAGAATCACTTGAACCTGGGAAGCAGAGGTTGCAGTGAGCCAAGATCATGCCACTGCACTCTGGCCGGGGCAACAGAGTCAGATCCCATCTCAAAAAAAAAAAAAAAGAAAGAAAGAAAGAAAGAAAAGAAAAGAAATAACTATCCAAGGCTGGGTGTAGTTGCTCACGCCTGTAATCCCAGCACTTTGGGAAGCCAAGGGGGGTGGATCACTCACACATGTAATGCCAGCATTTCAGGAGGCTGAGGGGGGTGGATAATTTGAGCCCAGGAGTTCAAGACCAGCCTGGGCAACACAGTGAGACCCTGTCTCTTAAAAAAAAAAAAAGAAAGAATTATCCAATTAATGCCTCTCCTCAACAGATGGTAAGCATCATGGGCAGGAAATGTATACAGCTTGTTCAGCATCGTATACCTAGCACCTAGCCGTGTTTGTCAAGTGGAGACTCAATAAACATTTGTTGAATGAAGGAAATGTGAACAAATGAGAGCAAAAATTGGATTCAAATTAAATATTATGCATTACAATAAATGAAAGTAGGGCATTTTTCTGATAATTCATTTATTTATTCATTCATTCATTCATTCAACAAATATGCCAATGAAACATGTGCTAGCACTGCTTGAAGCATTTAGGATACATCAGTGAATAAAACAAATAAAAATCTCTATCCTCATAGAGCTTTTATGTAGAGGGGGAAGACAATACCCATAAAATAATTGGGGGATGAAGGCATTGCAGGATAAAAGGGATTGCATCAGGGGGAAACTGGTTTGCAATTTTAAATAAAGTGGTTAAGACAAGCCTCATTAAAAGGGTGATATCTGAGCAAAGACTCGAAAGAAATGGGAGAGTTAGCCATGCAAACACCGAGAAAAGTGTTCTAGGCCAAAGATCCTAAGGCAAGAGTGTTCTTAATGTGTTTAAGATACTAGAAGGCCAGTTGCTTAGAGCAGAGTGAGTGTGAGGAAGGATAGTCGGAGAAGAGGTCAGAAGGGTTGGCTGGGTGAGATGGGAGTGGGAGAAGGCAAGCACAAGGTGATGTGAAAGACTTGTACACCAGTGCTACTCAACAGAAGAGTAACATAAGCCACAGGCACAATTTTAAATTTTCTAATAACTACAATATATAATGTAAAAAGAAACAGTGAAGTTAATATTTTATTATCACTAACACCCCAAAGTATTATTTCATTATCAATGTAAAAAAATTGGTCTGGGCGCGGTGGCTCACACCTGTAATCCCAGCACTTTGGGAAGCCAAGGCAAGTGGATCACCTGAGGTCAGGGGTTCAAGACCAGCCTGGCCAACATGACAAAACCCCATCACTACTGAAAATACAAAAAGCAGCCATGCACAGTGGCGTGCACCTATAATCCCAGCTCCTCAGGAAGCTGAAGCTAGAGAATTGCTTGAACCTGGAAGGCGGAGGTTACCGTGAGCTGAGATAGCACCATTGCACTTCAGTCTGGGTGACAGAGCAAGACTCCCCTCTAGGAAAAAAAAATTACTAAGGTATTTTACATGGTGTTATTTTTTGTTTGTTTTTTCTTTATGCTAAGCCCTCAAAATCTAATGTGTATCTGACAAACTCAGTTCAGATTAGCCACATCTGAAGTGCCCAATAGTGGCTAACAAAACGAACAGCACAACTGGAGGCCATTCTAAGGGCTTTGGATTTAGAAAAACGGAGAATTCTGAGCACAGGAGTAACATGACTGTCCTTACAGGACCAATTTCACCACTTACTGAGAGTAGACTGTAGAGAAATCCAAGTGAGAGACGGTAGCAGGTTGAAACAAGGTAGCTACAGTGGAGTGTGAGAAGTCAAGAGTCTGGATTTATTTGAGGATAGAGCCAACAGGATTTGCCAACTATTTAACGTGAAGTGTGAGATACAAAAGGAGTAAGCCAGGTGTGGTGGCTCAGAGCCTGTAATACCAGCACTTCAGAGACTGAGGTTGGAGGAGCTCCTGAGCCCAAGAGCTCCAAGAGCAGCCTGGGCAACATAGTGAGATCTCATCTCTACCAAAAAAAGAACAAAAACAACTTGGCCCCAGAGGTCATAGTGGGCCCCAGAGGTCAAGGCAACAGTGAGCCATGACTGGACCACTGCACTCCAACTTGGCCAACACAGTGAGATCCTGTCTCAAAAAAAAAGAAAAGAGTCAAGGATATTCTGAGGTTTTGGCCTGGAGAAATGAGGGATGGAATTGCCTTCAAATGAGAAAAAGACTGCAGGCTATGACAATTAGTTTGATTTTAAACAACTGCAAGGTGCTGATATGCTATCAAAGTGGAGATGTAAAATATTCAGAGGAGTATAAGAATCTAAAGTTCAGAAGAGTTATCCCAACCGTAGATATAAATTTGATAACCATTAAGATTAGACAATAATCGGCTGGGAACGGTGAATCACACCTGTAATCCCAGCACTTTGGGAGGCAGAGGCAAGTGGATTACTTGAGGTCAGGAGTTCGAGACCAGCCTGGCCAACATGGTGAAATCCTGCCTCTAATAAAAATATAAAAATTAGCCAGGCGTGGCGGTGCACACCTGTAATCCCAGCTACTCAGGAGGCTGAGGCACGATAACCACTTGAACCTGGGAGGCAGAGGTTGCAGTGAGCCAAGATCGTGCCACTGCACCACTCCAGCCTGGGTGACAGAGTGAGACTCCATCTCAAAAGAAAAAAGAAAAAAAAGACATAGACAAGAATCGATCATCCATTTCTCCAATAGCCAGGAACAACACTAGTATTGAGGCTGACATACCTAACAGGGACAGTAACTACCGTGGCTTCCAGTGCTTTAACAAACCTCAGACGTGTGGCCTTCTGCCAAAGCATTTGCAATTTCATATTGTTGAAGCATTCATTGTATCCCTGGGGGTTTTAGCTATGTTTGTTGTGGCTGAACCAAGAAAGAAGGCCTACGTAGACTTCTACAGAAATGATGATTCCATGAAAGATTTTTAAGAGATGAGGAAGGCTGGTATATTTCAGAGCACAAAGTGATTGTGGAATATAAATAATTTCTTTGGGTTGAATTGCCTAGAAGTATGTCACTGACCTCTGTTCTTGAACTATGAAACATAAATGTGGGCTAACAGTTTCTCTTGATAAGTAAACAAAAATTTTTTTTAAAATAGACAATAAATAATCAAAGCCACAGAATTTGGATGAGCTCACCAAGGAGTGAATTTAGATATAGAAGAGATGAGAATGAAGGATAGCATGCTGGCGTTTAGAACACTCCAAGGAAAGAGACTGGGGAGAGGAAGATGAACCAGCCAAGTAATGTGAGAAAAAATGAAAATGAAATAGGAAGAAATTTAACAGAGAGATATCCTAGAAGCCAAGAGAAGAAAATGTGACAAGAAAATTGTAATATTCAGCCAGGTGTGGAGGCTCACACCTGTTATCCCAGCACTTTGAGAGGCTGAAGCAGGCAGATCGCATGAGGTTGGGAGTTCAAGACCGGCCTGACTAACATGAAGAAAACCCGTCTCTACTAAAAATACAAAATTAGCAGGGCGTGGCGGTGCATGCCTGTAATCCCAGCTACTGGAGAGGCTGAGACAGGAGAATCGCTTGAACTCGGGAGGTGGGGGCTGCAGTCAGCTGAGATCACGCCATTGCACTCCAGCCTGGGCAACAAGAGTGAAACTCTGTCTCAGGAAAAAAATTTTAAAAAAGATAAAATTATATTATTTTTGGTTTCTTTGAATTTGTCTAATACAACAATTTCTGTCATACGTGAAGAAAATGCCTTCAATATCCTTTTAGAAATAATACACATTTTGGTTTGCTCATATAGTAGGCATCAGGGTTTGTTATCTCTTGTAGCCCCTAATTTTTGAGCAATAACTCTCTTGCCAGTTTTCCTGCAAAGAAACTCAAAAAGAAAAAAAACTGTGATGCAGTCTGTTAAATATATACACATCACTGACCTAGGATTGCAAGCTTCAGTACTTCCTCTGCCACTTACTAGTTATACGACTTGGCCACATTAATAAGATCAGTTTCTTTCTCTGTAAAACGGGGGTAATGCTGCCTGCTGCTTCTACCTAAAGAATTACCTAAACAACATACATCACTTGACTTCAAAAACACAAAAGAAAAGCAAAAAGCACTGCACCAAAAAAACGGGCTTTCATCGTAGCTAAAAATTGAAGTTATTAAGATGAAAATAGGCGCTACCAAGAGGTACTACAGAATTAGCCTTCAAATCATAAACTTTGATCCAAATTACAGCACCTCTGAAAGTTTAAAAACTGGAATCGCCTATAACGATAAAATTCGGAAAGCACCAAAAAGCACTTTGAAAACTGGTTTGCAGACATAAGCCACTCAATTACATCATCTTTCCCTTACCAGAACTCCTCACTTACCACAATCCACTGCCCGAAGCCCACACCCTAGCATCCAGTCTTTGCCACACCCAACAACCCAGTCCTTGCCTTCCCCATAGAAGGCTGGAGGGCGCTTGATGTACGTCCTGCTCCCACCCCCTCCCTCAGGGTGGACGTCTCCAGAATGGAGTTGAACCCCTTCATAAGGTCACTTTTAAGTAGTAATGACCTACGCTTCGAAGAACCTAGAGACCAGAAACAGCACTGGGGGCATTTTCAGCACCCAGAGCAGAATCAGCCTTGCAGTCTGCTGCAACCAGAGACTCGGTGCCAGAGCCACTTCCCCCCGCAAGACAACCCCTTGTCTTACCTCTACCCATGCACCTTACGGCTGCCGCCATGTTGGCTACTCCGGATTGCGTTCACGAAATTGGTCCTACTTTCTACTGGGACGAATTGGAAAAAGGTTCCGTTCTAGAATCAGCAAAGGGGGAAGGAGTTAGAAGGAGCAAGAGGAACGGGGCGGGGACCAAAATGAGTTTTGCTGCCGGCGTGGCGGTGTTCCTGTTAGTCCGCCGTGCTACCCAGGACCCTGTGTTTCGTGGTTCCGGTAGGGCTGGTTAACCACCTTCGGGAAAATGCGATCCCGTTGGTGATGCCGTCATTATTTTAATCCTTTCTTCTTCCTCTTTTTCTTTTTTGATCCTTTAAGGGTACTCAGAGCGACAATTTTTTTTTTTTTTTTTTTTTTTTTGAGAGGGAGTCTTGCTCTGTCGCCCAGGCTGGAGTGCAGTGGCGCGATCTCTGCTCACTGCAACCGCCGGCTCCCATGTTCAAGCGATTCATCTTCCTCAGCCTCCCGAGTAGGTGGGGCTACAGGCGCGCTACCACGCCTGGGTAATTTTTGTATTTTTAGTACAGACAGGGTTTCACCATGTTGGCCAGACTGGTCTTTAACTCCTGACCTCGTGGTGCGCCCGCCTCGGCCTCCCGAAGTGCTGGTGTTACAGGCGTGAGCCACCGCGCCGGCACCAGAAGGACAATTGTAACAGGCTGTGGGAGTTCTTACTACCCAAGGTAAAATCTTGAAAAACAGAAACCCTGGCCGGGCGCGGTGGCTCAGACCTGTAATCCCAGCACTTTGGGAGGCTGAGGCGGGTGGATCACGAGGTCAAGAGATCGAGACCATCCTGGGCAACATGGTGAAACCCCGTCTCTACTAAAAATACAAAAAATTAGCTGGGTATGGTGGTGCGTGCCTGTAATTCCAGCTACTCAGGAGGCTGAGGCAGGAGAATTGCCTGCACCCAGGAGGCGGAGGTTGCGGTGAGCCGAGATCGCGCCATTGTAACAAGATCGTGCCTGGGTAACAAGAGCGAAACTCCCGTCTCAAAAAAAAAAAAAGAAAGAAAGAAAAACAGAAACCCTGAAGCCCGCTAGCTTCCTTCGTCACATTTCCGGCCTTGGAAAGACTTCTTTAAACATTCTCCAGGCGTTTCTTAGCTACCCAAGGGAGGTGTCCAACTCATTGATCAACTTTTTTAATTGTCAAACTTTCTCTCAGCGCAAGATCTGCTGTAGCTTAACATAAAATCTTACATTAATCTCTACATTTACCCCTTGCTGGCAAGCAAGTAGACTTGCCATTAGGATCAATTGAATAATAATACTTGACATTTATAAAACATTTATAGTTTTAAATACGGCAGCTCCAAGACCCACACACAGGTTATTCTGATAGGAAAAAAAAATGAGTGTACTTTCCATTACGTCACAGTTGTCAGTGCGGTTTATCTAAAACAGATCTGATTATGTATTTTATCACTTCCCAGCTTATCTTCCCCACAACACACACACACACACACACACACACACACACACGCACACACATTTCTCACCTACATGACGTGGTTAATTCTATCTTCTCAGCTTGGAATCTGTATGTACCCCACATCACCTAGGTAACTTTTTTAAAGATTTCGCCTCAGGCTGTTTGTTTGTTTTAAACAGTTTTGAGATATAATTTACATACCATACAATCTACCCATTTAAACTGTACAATTCATTAAGTTTTCAATATACTCAAAGAGTTGTGCAGCCATCACCACAATGTATCAGTTCTTGCCACCAGTCTGAGCTTTTTATGGGTAGAAACCGTCTTAATCATTTTTGTAACCTCAGCACATACTTCAGTGCCGGGCCCATAGGAGGCTCTCCATAAATATTTGCTGAATAAATGAATGTATGCATACATGAATTAGTGACTCAATTAGAATGGCAAGCCTGCAAAATTATCTTGCTTCAGTGAAGCTGCCCACAGGAAGATGGACTGGATCAAAGGCATTTCCCAGATGCCTTATGTCGTATTTATACATAGTACTCATCTACATGAAGAATAAGATTTCTAATTTATTGCCTTGTCAACACCTAAGCAGTTACTTCAAAGATTCTACAATTCGTGACTTAGCAAAAAAATTCAAAGAACTTAAATCTACCTTTGTAACCTTTTTCCTTCTCTCTCTCCCTCTCATCCTCCCTTCTTTTCACAAATATATATATGAGTGTCTGCCATGTGTCAAGCGTACTTGACTATGCATACATGAAAAAAACTAATTCAATTTGAGAGTAAATACCAGAATTGAAGCAAGTTTACCCAGTTAATTTCAGCCAAAAACAAACACTCAGGTTAGAGGTGCTGGTCCTTAGACCCTATATCCATTTCCTTTCCACAGTCCACAGTTGGGGTCAGTTGCCCCCCCATCTGTGGACTTGTTTTTTTCTCTCAAGATAGGATCTCACTCTGTCACCCAAGCTGGAGTGCACTGACAAGATCATAGCTCATTTGTAGCCTTCAGCTCCTAGGCTCAAGTGATCCTCGTGCCTCAGCCTCCCAAGTACCCAGGGCCACAGGCATGCACCACCACACCTGGCTAAGATTTTTATTTTTATTTATAGACAGGGTGTGGGGTGTCTTACTTTGTTGCCCAGGCTGGTCTCAAACTCCTGGCTTCAAGCAATTCCAAAGTGCTGGAATTACAGGTGTGTAGCAGGCCCCATTTATGGACTTCTTTATGTCTACTGTTCTAACAAAAGAGTTTAAACATCCAATATTGAAACTATTACAATATAGTATGCTTACATACCATAATGTATGCTTACAGTGGCAGCCTAATTAAAGTAATGTCCTGTACAGCTTCAGCTTACCTGCTGCCCACTCTGATCACCAGAACTTGATGGCACTGGGTAGATTCCAGTTTTGTATATAACAATACATAAAGAAATTCCTTAGCCTGAGACTTTATAGAAACAAGAAAAGGACTTTATAAAAACTACAAAAATCCATACTCTGAAATAGGAACTCCAAGCCTCTAAATATTTATTACATAATGAGTTTCTTCTCACTAAAAAGAGGTAATAGAGCAGGAATTTTCCAATCTTTTGGCTTCCCTGGGCCACATTGGAAGAATTATCTTGGGCCACACATAAAATACACTAACACTCATGGTAGCTGATGAGCTTTGAAAAAAATCAAAAAAAAAAAAAATCTCATGATGTTTTAAGAAAGTTTATGAATTTGTGTTGGGCCATATTCAAAGCCATGTTGGATCACATGTGGCTGGCAGGCCATAGGTTGGATAAGCTTGTAATAGAGCGTTTTGGTTAAGCAGCTGTGCTCTGGAGCCAAACTGCCTAGGCTTGAATTCCAGTATTATCACTTAGTAGTTGTGTGACCTGGGGCAAATTTATATACCTCTGTTGGCCTCGGTTTCCCTGATATGGGGCTAATAAAAAGATAATTTACTGAGGTGCTTACTGAAGTACTTGGCACAGAGTAAGCACTCAAAAAATATTAAATGTCATTATTAAAGAATCATTGAGAGCTCTGAACCAGAAAGGCAAAATAAATAGGCTGTTCTAGTACTCCTTCCAATATCTGCTTAGTTCTTAACATGATCCATGCTGTTCTTATTCCCATATGTACAAAGATATCACTTTCTTTATGTTAGAACTTTTATAAGTATTTGCTGAAAGTCTTTAAACAGTATTATGCGCTTCAGAATTCAAATTAAAATGCAATTTTTGATTTCTAGGAAGGCTTATATTCTCCAGGAGTCTTGACAAAATGCCAGCTGCCAGCCTGCTTGGCAAATTTCCCTGGGAAAAGCTAATATATATTTGTCTAGCCCTGTAACTTTCTTGATCTATGTTCTCTGCCTTATTCAGCCATCTTTCAGTTGAGCTGGAAACTTCTTTGCAAAAAGTGTCACTTCCCTTTGGGGTTCTAGTTGAAAATGGATTCTCTTATTGGACAGAAATGAGGAACCTCAAGACATTTCCTATTTCAGTAAGGTGCATCAGAATCACTCAGAAGGCTTTTTAAACTTAGGTTGCTGGGCCCCATCCCCAGAACTTCTGATCCAGTAGTTTGAGGCAGAGCCTGTGAGTATAATAAATTCTCAGGTGATACTGATTTATTGGCCCAGTGACCATACTTTGAAAACCACTCCCTATGTAATACCATGAAATATTTGCATTTATATCTAACATTAACTTCAGAGAAGCTGTTGTTTTGTTTAAAATTTTTATGCTTAATATAATATAAGCTATAAATATTCTTTGTGGCATATTTCTCCAAAGCCAGAATCCACCCACTCTTACTTTCTTCCTCTCTACACACAATCTGCTGTTCTACACCTGGTTTTCAACTCCAAAATTGTCCACCTGCCAGCTGAGAAAATTTCTAATGCCTGTCTGTCTGCCTATCTGGGTCTTAAGTATTACCAACTCCTAGATTCCCTTTCCCCCTTCAGAAATGACTTTTTCTTTTTTCCCATAAAGAAATAACTATCTAGGAAAATGTTCTTTTAGTCACAACGCTGAAAGTTCAGTAAATGGCAGACTGGAACTCATTTTGTCTTGTCCCCCACACATGGCAATTACTATGTCCAAAAGCCTCTAGCAGATTTGCTTAATTCCAGATTGATTTAGGAGATTTAGAACTGTCCAGTGGTATGCTGGTAAAAGTTTAACAACTGGTTTTCCTGTATAAAAGAAATGAAATTGTACCATTTGTCAATTTCTATGGTGCAAATATTCCCATAGTAGGTGACTTCAAGCCACCAAACATAAAATCAACCAACTCAAAATTTCTGACAATTTATCAATTGGTTCTTGCATAGCTACAGCATACTACTAATATAAGTCTTCAGTAACTTTTAGGAGGCCTAAACAAAACAAGTTCATCTTAGAGCCATGTTTCTTAAATTTTAATGTAAATTCAGATCACCTGGAAATCTTATTAAAATGTAGATTCTGATTTGGTAGGCCTGGAATGGGGCTTGCAATTCTGATTTTTAACAGGCTCCTAGCAGTGATGTTGATGCTGCTGGTTCATGGACCACCCTTTTAATAGCAATGTCCTAAAGCATATTTGAGAGCAAAACTCACATCCCTATCATTAATCCCAAACCAGAACCCTTTGAATAGACTCCTTCTAATACAGTACAGGGAATAGAATAAGTTTAAGTAGATTCACAAATTTCTGGGAGTAAACTCCATGGCCTCCCATCTTTCAGCATCTTTCAGTAGAG